GTAGACTATTGGAAACTTAATGGCATTACTAAAAAGGATGCTTACCCATTACCACGAATTGATGATATGCTTAATACCCTCAAAGGATCTAAGTGGTTCTCTACACTAGATCTTGCAAGTGGCTATTGGCAAGTTGCTATGCATCCGCAAGATCGAGAAAAGACAGCCTTTGTAACTCGCTATGGTATTTACGAGTTTAATGTTATGCCGTTTGGACTTTGCAATGCCCCTGCAACCTTTCAGCGGTTAATGGATAGAGTATACCAAGACATTGCATGGAAATTTGTAGTTGTCTACCTTGATGATACTATAGTATATTCGAAATCTTTTGATGAACATTTAGAACATTTAAGAGAAACTTTTATTAGAATCAGACAAGCTGGTTTAAGATTAAACTTAGAGAAATGTAATTTTTGGATGCAGAGTTTACCATTTCTAGGACATATTGTAACCTCCATTGGAATTGCACCAGACCCTCAGAAAATAGAAGCAGTTCAAAAGATTCAACCACCTAAAACTGTAACCCAGTTACGTTCATTTTTAGGCCTAGTAGAATTAGTGATCCAAATCAAAAATCGATTAATCGCTTAGTTGGTTAAGTTGGCAACTAATCGATTAGCTAAAATAAACCAACTATTAATCGATTGACCAACTAATCGATAATCGATCAATCGATTAATCAACTAATCAACTAATAAATTAACCAACTAGTTAATTCTAGTTGATTAGTCAACTAGTTAACTAATCGATTATAAATATATTAACGTTAAATATTAATAAATTATGTATAAATAATTACTCAAGCAATTAATACGTATATTATTTAAAGTTCTACATATTGCAATTAAAAAATCTATCTAATTACTACTAGCGCTAGATGTATTTCTTTAGTACATACATATTAATAATAATTACTGTATTCGTTAATTTCTTTTTAATCTTGTACATATACGTATATGTATAAATTTTTCATTGTTAGAATTGTTGTTAATAACGATAGCTTTTTATATTCAAGTTTGGCTAAATGGCATACAGTTGCTGTATCTGTATACATGAAATATATAAAACTTTAGCGTTTGTACGTATGTAAAGCATTGAATTTTCGGAATGGCGATAGTAAGCATATACATTATTTTAAATCATATCCCAAAATAGCATAGTTTCAAAATTACGCCATGCGTACATATTTTGAAATATATAACATGAATTTTGATATAGTACCAATATAGCATATAGAGCGTATCCTAAGATGATTACAATAACATGTAGTTCGAGAGTTTAACATTTAATTAAACAAAAAGTATCAATATTTATAACAAATCTATCAAACCTATCAGATCAATATTAATTCACCACCAATCTTTTGCAAACAAGAATATTTTATATACAATAATTCGTAGACAAATTAATTTATATACAGTTTATTTTATTGATGCAAAACTACCTTAAATCTATTTCTAAATCTAATATCAATACCATATAAGTGCGAAATAACGCCCATTTGTGCGCTAATTAATTGAAATAATTTATATGTTATTTCGAATACGTCCATGTGCGTTATTTCGAAATAGGAGAAGATTTTCTAAATCTATTACAGTCAACCTTCCACAAATGCACGTCGTTGGGTAAAAGTGCATTTATAGAATATTCATTATAGAGAATAATCTATAATATTAAATTATATTATATTGATCAAATTATCATTATAGATAAAGTGCACTTATAAAGTGTGCGCATATAGAACATCGACTATATCATTTATCGCGTTAATTCGGAACGCCCATGAACGTTAATTAGAGATCATATAGGTTATTTTTGAAGGACCTGATTCTCAAAATAACGCCCACGAGCGTTATTTCGCGCTTATATAGTATAAAGGTGGCTAAAATTTGTAAAATGAGCTGTCAGTTAAATATACTGTCTATAACAATAAAATAAACTATCCATAGAATAAACTTGTTTGAATTATTTATCTATAACCCAATTTTGTCTGTCAATTGATTGTTTGTGAATTAAATTGCCCGTGAAGTACTGTAATTGTTCACGAAGTGAGTGGCAGCAAAACCTATCAATAGTGTAATTGATAAAATCGGTAGAGATTATGCATAATGTGAGAAATTTTTTAACTATACCAAAGCAACAAAGAAAACAATAATACTGAGAAGCAAAGTGTGCGCATATAGAACATCGACTGTATCGTTTATCGCGTTAATTTAGGACATCCATGAACATTAATTAGAGATCATATAGATTATTTTTGAAGGACCCGATTCTCAAAATAACGCCCACGAGTGTTATTTCGCGCTTATATAGTATAAAGGTGGCTAAAATTTGTAAAATAAGCTGTCAGTTAAATATACTGTCTATAAAATAAACCAATAAAATAAACTATCCATAGAATAAACTTGTTTGAATTATTCATCTATAACTCAATTTGTCTGTCAATTGATTGTTCGTGAATTAAATTGCCCGTGGAGTACTTAATTGTTCAAGGAAGTGAGTGGCAGCAAAACCTATCAAAAGTGTAATTGATAAATCGTTAGAGATTATGCATAATGTGAGAAAATTTTAACTATCCAAAGCAACAAAGAAAACAATAATACTGAGAAGCATATGTGTATACTATAAGCTACAAAATACAAAATAATTATGGGCATTATTCAAGAGTTAAACCTCTTGAAAGTGAATACTTAGTAACGACTCAGGCTAGAAATTTGTTCTTTGTTTTGAAATATCATGCAGGTCGCAATTCTGGATATGTGCATATCTATATGTTAATATTGTTCATAAATTCGATGTTCTTATTTCTTTGTTTTTTAGAAGTATAATCGAATTTTTTAGTTACCTTGAAAAGTCAGCCTTAACTATTAAAAAATTGTTAATAATTATGAACTACGATTGTATATATAAAGTAATAAATTTTCCTTACTGATTCTTTAATTCTTCACTTTATTCTTGCAACATGGATGAAGATTACGATTATGATTTTTCTACTTATAATTCAACTTCTGATAGTTCGTTTATAACCAATCAACAGACAGACTCTCTTGACCAAGATGATGATAATATTCAAATTTCACATTCTCAATCACCAGCACCTTCATCTAACGAAATTACTGACAGTCATATTGCTAAAAGGACAAAACTTTCCAATAAAGATAATTTTATAAAATCTTTTTTTACCTTTTATGAGCAACCTGGACATAAGCCTGAAGACAAATCAACAACTAAGCTTAAATGCTCGATCAAAGGTTGTCAAACAGAATATGTGTGGCATAGTTCGACTACAAATATGATTAATCACCTTAGAGACGTACATCACATTACAAAAATGTCACTTCACAATAAGACAGCCGATGAACTCAAAAAGTCTTCTCAACAAACACTAGAAACCATGTTATTAAAACCTTATCCACCAGCAAAGCAACAAAAACTTACACAAGATGTTCTTAGACTCTTTATTTCCTGTACGCTTCCATTATATTTGGTCGAAAATAAAAATTTTCGTACCTTTTTACATTCCTTCGATCCTAGATATAAACCACCTTGTGTAAATACACTTAAAAATGAAATAGCAAATGGAACTAACCATACAACTCAAGTAATTAAAAATATGATTCATAGTCAAGCTAATACAATATCACTTACGTTTGATTTATGGACGTCTCGGGCACATGACTCTTACTTAGGTGTAACTTGTCACTGGATTTCTGACGAATTCCGTATGTATGATCTTACATTAAGCGTAGTTGAAATGGGTACATATAAAACTGCAGGTGATATTGTTGATTCTATTGAGCCTTTGCTTGAAGAATTTAGTATAGAAGGAGATAAAATATTAAGTATAACCACAGACAATGGCTCAAATGTTAAAGCAGCTGTTACACGGCTTTCAGCAAGTCTTTCTTTATCAACACCAATTGCTAATATTTTTTGTGCTGCGCATACCTTGCAGCTAAGCGTTGAGACAGGCTTGGTAGTTGTGCAGAATCTAATTACTAAATGTAAAGCATTGATTTCACTTATGAGTGGAGAAAAAAAACGTAAACAATTAAGAGAGGCACAAATTAGGGTAGGTATATTAAATACTAATGTAGTTGATGTTATAACTGATGTAGCAACCAGATGGAATTCTACCTACATGGCCCTTGAAAGACTTGTAGAACTTGAGCGACCAATTAAGTGGCTGGCCAATGATCTTGAAAATTCAAATAATAATGATAATCGTCGTGATGGAACCAATATTCAGGACAAATTATTAACCAATGAGGAGTTTAGTATTGCACGGGAACTTGTTAACCTTCTATCACCATTTGATAAAGCTACTGAGATTCTTTCTGGATCGAATTACGCTACACTAGGTATAATGGTACCAACAGTAGAAGAATTAATATATAGATTTAGTAATATAGATAGTGAAATAGATATCATAAATGAAGTAAAGGAGACAATTTTATCTAATTTGACAAGCCGATGGTCTTTGCCACATGATTATGGAATGTTTGCTTCGTTACTCGATCCCAGATTTAAAGATCTATCTTTTTGTTCAAATGTGAGTATTATTATAAAATAATAAGTATATATATTATTTAATAAATGTAGTATATTATAATTATAATGCATGCAGTTAGAATATACGCTACTCACGGGTTATATTACTATTTTATAATTAGGCTCAAAAACGAAGAATGATTGAGGAATTAAAAATCAAGTTTAATGAATTAAGTGGGCATGAAAATCAAGTAGAAAATAATGATACAAATTTACCTAGAGAATCACAAGTCACAAAAAAAAATCAAAAATCTCTAATGAAAAGCTTTTTTTCTTCAATTCGTCAGCATGATGAATCTCCTGAACAAACTGAATTGGACAGGTATCTTTTACTTCCTGAAATAGATAAAACAGAAGAAAACAATCCACTAGACTGGTGGAAACGGCGAAAGGCTGAATTTCCAATTCTTAGCATACTTGCAAGAAGATATCTTGCAATACCTGCTACTTCGGTTCCTTCTGAGAGATTATTCTCAGATGCTGGCAACCATATAACTCCTAAAAGAAACCGACTAGACCCTTATCTCTTGCATCAATTGCTATTTTTAAAGCGAAATATCGCTTATCTAGATATTTTCCCCCCAACTAAATAAATATATTTCGTATATTTATTATCTATTGCAGTATTGAGATAATATAGAACATTTATATATAGAATTTTCATTTTTTTCTCAGAACAATATTTTACATAGTATTAAATATATTAAATAAAGTTTAGTTAGTATATAAAATATCCAATTGTTTCTATATTTTGAAATCAAAGAATCTATTTTATAAATACCTCGCGAATAACACAAGTCTCTTGAGTAATTGGATGTTATTAAGAGTTTCAATTGCTCTTCGTGCATCTTTTAGAAGACTAAAATAAGTGGCTGCGCTATTAAATTACTGTATTCAATAAAATTTACCCGCATCCTTATTAAAATAATTGAAAACTTAAAATGTTACTGACTTACTTTAAACATGCTATTAGGTTGTACCAAAACATCACAAGCTTTGAACTTTGAAATTAAAATTAATAAGAAATACACAACAAGGTTTAACAATAATTTCCAACATAAGTGCGACACTTCTTTGTGATCGTGAAAAGTGTTGCATAAAATATGAGATTTCGTTCAAGAATTTTTTTTAAAGTCGAGTATGATTTTGAGTGCAAATAATTACCTAAAGTTTTCGTATACTACACTGTAAAATCAGAAAATGATCCTCTTTTATATGATCTCTAATCGATTTTGACCTCAAGTTTTCGTATACTACTCTGTAAAATCAGAAAATGAATCGTTATATGATTTCTAATCGATTAGTTAATTAATCGAATAATCGACCAATCAGTTAATCGACTGATCGATTAATCGATTAATCGATTAACTGATTAGTCGATTAGTCGATTAGTCGAGCTTGTCCAACTATCAATCGACTTTTTAAAAGGCAATCGATTAACTAATCGATTCCATTTTTTTTTCCGATTTGGATCACTACCCAGTACCCACATTCCAACTTCCTTCTTTCCCGGATTCCTTATCGGTCCCTCCCTTACTTCCAGCCGGCAACCCGG